TTTGTCTATTGTGTCTGTGTTGGCGTGTCAAAAATACTCATATATGTGTTTCTGGACGACTTTATATTCAAGAACACAGATACCAGTCAAGCCTGAAAATATTTTGGATACATGTGTATCATTTATATGTTTATATCCATGATTTCATTTATGTAGGGGTAAATCATTAAAATGTGCGTGCATGTGTGTTCTCTAGCTCAGCTCACTTTTATGTTTTCTCAGCCATTTGACATGGAGATAAACAAACCTCTCTAACAATATCGGCGCCTTTCCACTTCAGGTCATCAGCAGCAAACTTGCAACACTGAAACCCCTTCACATAAACATGTATGCACACACCAACGCACACTCTTTCTTCAGTCAGAAGGGACAGTTTTTGTTTGATCCCTTGTGAGGTTTATCTCCTAAGCCCAAATGTCAACACTCGCTGTTGACAGACTCAGTTTCTTCCAATAATCCAGTGACCGTCCACATCCTAAAACCTGAAGACCAGCAGGCACAATAGAAAGTCAAAGCGATATGAGATATACTGAAGAATTAGGCAGTGACAATCAGAAACAAGGCAAGAGCGTAATGCAGGAATTATGCCCACACGTGCTCTTTGTTCCAACTTTCCATTTTGATAATGTCCACACAATTTCAGTTTTCTCACTAAAAACAAAGCTTTCTAAAATACATACTATACTATACTAGTACTATAGAGTAGATACATCTAAATGCCGGCACATACAGCATCGAGTAATGTGCAGCAGAAATGTTAAGGAGACAACTTTTGTCACCTCTAATTGATTACTCATTTTTAATATAAGCATCGCATTGCATAAGCAAAAATTATGGTTTGCCATGATTAACAGGTAGCAAATATGAGCCACAAGAGAATCACTATAACACTGTCCTATAACAGAAACAGAAACATTTGTCAGATATGATAAATTAAATTCTGTGTTTGGTCATAGACAGCAGAAAGCAACAGAACAGAGGTTTGACCAATTGGGCTATATGTCTGTCCCCCTATAATTCAAAATGTTGTTATTTGTCAACCAAAAGGAGAGAAAGAGAATGGTGGACAAAATCCCCAGTCTTCATTCCATGAAAATATATATTCGAAAGATCGACTGGAGCTAATAAGATTTATCCAACACTGTAGTTCCCTGCTGTGTTTAAGCCTTTAATTTGTTTTGTTTTCACTTGCTGCAAATTCAGCCTGTCATCAACCTTGCTTCCAGCCACACCAGGCTGTTTTCAGCAAAAAGGCTCGATAAACCCACAATATATTTGTCTACCCAGCACCAAATAGTGGAGCATTTAGCAGATTAAAAGCCAAATATTTCCCTGAGGAGTTGGTGGCGAACAAAATAGGGTTAAAAGAAGAGCGATCATTGGACTTGATATTAAATGATAATGTTGCCCAGAGTTTGCGGGATTAATAGGATTTTTTCACACATTCGCCTTAACAATTTCATATGGTTCCGTTACGTCAGTGTTGTGTTTACAGTTTGTTGCATGGGCCCCAAGTGGACAAAAAAATCAGTCACACTTTGTTTGTGTCACGCTACCACCTTATTTGTGTTGTTTTATATTCCTGCAGTATTTTTAGAGTTAATGTTTACATTACATCTTCAATACAGAAAACAGAGGCATGTAGGGGGCGAAGTGTGTATGCGTGTGCTGTTTGTCTGTCTGTTTGTGTGTGTGTGTCGGGGGTGGAGGGGTGATTTCCTGGTTATGAATAGCGAGTGTGTGTTGATTATAATTTAATGATGTTAGTGTGTGTTACAATTCCAAGGCTATTGTTATTTGATCAGAACAGATCAGTCATACATGCAGACATACACTCATTCATGAACACAAACGTGCATGCACACAGACACCACGCACACACACATTAACACACACACTGGCTCAGACCTGTATGCAAACAGACCAGCATGGAAATGCTGCAAATGTCCCTAGGTATCCACATGGTAATATACACACATGTGACACACACACACACACACACACACACACACACACACACACACACACACACACACACACACACACACAATAATACACAGAAGTTCCTCATTAGATAAAAAAAAAAGATAGACAGGGATTTTTTGTGCTTTAATCTCTCGCTGAGTGTAAACATATTATTTTTTACAGCCAACAATGTTGTGTAAAGTGTAGTGTATTTGTGTGTGTGTGTGTGTGTGTGTGTGTGTGTGTGTGTGTGTGTGTGTGTGTGTGTGTGTGTGTGAGGGAAAGCTTGTGTGTGTATGTGGGTGCTAATCAGATACATTTTAACTTGGAATTTGAAACGTGGCACAGGATTAGTCCAAAGTTTGAGTGTCGGCATGACTTCGCTGCTCTTTTGATGTGACTTTTACCACCTCAAACTGTAAACTGAACTCGATGTCAATAAAGGCACCACTTAAGTACCTAGGTGTCTCTCTCTCTCTCTCTCTCTCTCTCTCTCTCTCTCTCTCAGTCTCTGTGCTCAGTTTTCCGTTTCAATTTCTTTATTGTAGTTATAATAATAATAATAATAATATAATAATAAATAAACCTTGCGTGTTCCATACTGTTTGTATATTGTCTGACTTTTTTGTTCAAACTGGTTGACCTGTCTTTTATCCTTTCCTTCTTCCTCTGTGTCCCTCATTACATTTCACCTCTCTCTGCCTCTCTCTCTCTCTCTCTCTCTCTCTCTCTCTCTCTCTCTCTCTCTCTCTCTCTCCCTCTCCTCTCTCTCTCTCTCTCTCTGTCTACCCATACAGGTTAATCATTCCAGCAGTGCTATCCTGCCAGAAAAGGTCTTATCAGTTTCTGTGTGTCATTTTAAAACTTAACCTGCATCCCCCTCTCAGCCTCCTGCCCCTACTCCTCCTCTCTGCTGCAATTCCCGGACTCCACCCACTGACTGCCTGCAGGTTACAGAGCTTTAGCCAATCACAACTCACCATTAAGAGCATGTTGCTGATTGGTGGGACTTCCAGCACTCTGTCAACATTGTGGTTGTGCTGGTCACCAAGTGATTATAAAAAAGAATCCCATTGTGTGTGTATACGTGAAGGGGGGCTGGGTGATGACTGATACTGAAATAAACAGGAGAATTCAGTTATTTTCAAAATAAAAGTTCCCAAAGTTTAGTTTATTTAATCGTATTGTATTTTATTTTAGAATTAAGAGCATTGCACCCACTTGTTTGACACTGTTGCTGTAAGAAACAAAGATTCCAGGTGAACATATGAAGCTAATTGTTCAATAGGAGGGAAATGGGACATTTCCACTACCAATGCTCCATAATGTAATATGCACACATAAAGCATATTTATATGTAATAAACTGCATTTTAACAGATAAAGAAATGTAGAAATGAAATGCAACAGGTCATGCTGTGTGTTTAAACAAAGCCTGTGGTTTTACACTTTTATTTGTTCTAAATAATTTGTATTTCTACTATTTCTCCTCCTTTTCAATAAAGGTTTAGGTTTAGATTGGGCGGGCTGTATCGGTGTCTGATAAATACTCTTCCAGAGCAAGTAACTGAAATAAACTGATTGAGTAAATATTCAACTCAGAAATTAAATTTAGCTTACAAATTATATTATAAGTGCGTTGAGGAATGTATGTAAAAAAAGTTGTTTTAAGGTCTGTGGGTTTATGTTCCCATAATTGTGCTTGTTGGTGGTATATATATTTTTCCTCGTATATTACTACAATACCAATTTCTTTTAGGTCGATATTAAATTCTTAAAATATGCATTTACCTGTGCTTGTTTTAAATAGTATTTTTTTAACTACTGGACGCAACTGTGTGTGTGTGTGTGTGTGTGTGTGTGTGTGTGTGTGTGTGTGTGTGTGTGTGTGTGTGTGTGTGTGTGTGAGTGAGTGTGTGGAGCTCGCCCTCTGTGACCCTTCAGTTGTGTCTGGCGGTCTGCCCCGTGAGTTTTCCGTGTCTCCCCCCTGATCTTGCTCACCGGCTGAGACTGATGAGTCTAAGTGTACTTAAATAGGTGTGTATGTGTTTGCGTGTGTTGAGGTGCGTGGAGAGTGGCTTTACTGGGACGTAGGCTCATAATTATTATTTTTTTCTTTGTATATTTAATTAAGAATAGGCTAAATAGCCCGAGCCTGACGTCAGATCACTAATTGATCCCTGCTCAACCAATTACTGATAATAATTCAGAAGCAATGGTATAATTTATTGCGTAAGGGGCTGATTTGATCCGAAAATAAAGGCCGTTGTAAGCCTGAGGCCGGCGCTGCTCACGTTTTCAACAAAATTGAACAAACAGACCCAAAAGCCACAGACGTTATTTTTTACTTTTTATTCATATGAGCCTTATGCAGAATTGACTTTGTCCTTCGTCTGCATTATAAAATGTGATAGTCCTGCTGGACAGAAAGAAAGAAAGAAAGAAAGAAAGAAAGAAAGAAAGAAAGAAAGAAAGAAAGAAAGGTACATTTTATTTTGTCATATTTTATGACTTTTTTAATTATCAGTGGGGTCGCTTCTAGATGAGCGCAGAAGCAGGGAACATGATGCTAAAATTCAATCTTGATGTTAACTAAATATTGCAATAAACCAGTAAAGATGAAGAGCTGTATTTGATAAAACTTGACATTATAGAAGCGCATGTACCCACGTGCGTGTGTGCGTGTGTGTGAGCTGCAATAAGCTCCTGTTAGAAACACACGCTCCGACCCACATACCTTGCGCGCTGCCTTTGCGCTCCGTGCGCTCACGGGGAGTCTGCTCTCACATGCAGTTGCATCACCTCGCTTGATTTCCTTGTTCTCCCTCCGCTTTTAAAGTCCATCATTAACGGGATTAAACAGCTGAGATTTTAGAGAGATGGAAGTGGAGGGTTTGAGGCGATGTTTCCCGGTCTCCTCGCCTGATTGGGCCGAGGAAAGATGATGTCAGACGACCGCATGCGCCCCGGATTGGAGAGAGCGGAGTAAACAAAGCCGCGAGGAGGAGGAGGAGAGGTTTCCAGATCTCCAGACAGTCCGACCGACACACCGAATCCGACTTTACGCGCAGGAGAGGGCGGCCCCGGCGGCGTGTATTCGTCTGCTAAAGGCTGAAAGTAACACTGACAGTCCCACTTTAATGGGTGACGCGCTTAAAAGACTTTTGGGAAAGCTAAAGGGAAATTTACCATCGTCTTTTAATCCGGACGCTGTGCAGTTTTCTCGTTTGAGTAAGAGACTGATTCCCTAACTCCGGTCGCAACTGTCCGAAAAGTATCGAAGGAATCACTCGTATGTGATCTGCGTTATTATTGCGGTGTTGTGCGCAAATGCAATTATGCGAAATTAAATTAGCGAAGTAAAATCAGAGCAGAAGCTCGCCGGCTGTGCAACCCGGCAGTTTGGAGACAGTCTGAATCGTTTGAATCAGGCTTCATATTCCGAACATGGTCCAATAATTGGAAGACAGAGAGAGAGAGAGAGAGAGAGAGAGAGAGAGAGAGAGAGAGAGAGAGAGAGAGAGAGAGAAAAGTAAAAAATAAACAGTTAAAAGGACATTTGGGACACTCTGAGGCGTGTTTGTGGGAACGTCTGGTCCTCACGTCCAGGTGTCCCGCCGAGCGGTGCGGAGTCTCCAGCTCAGGCCGGCAGCGCTGACATGCTGCCCAAAGTCGAGACTGAATCCCTGGGACTCTCTCGATCGTATGGAGAACAAGGGCACATGCCACGGAATATGCAAGGTAAGACCTGTCATTCGTTTTGATCTCATAAGACTACAAGGCAGATTCATAAGCTTCCACTTGAGTAGATTTACGCAGTGTTATCGGACTGAAGGTCCTCAGTGCGTACCTCAATATCACCAAAACTTTTGAACACGTTTATATCCAACACATTTCTGCGGACAATGTTGGGTAATGCCTGGTGACTGTCAATTTAGGCTATTATAGAATGATGAACTCGTTAAATTATTGGACATATGAAGGCCATTAGTTCACAGAGATTTGTGGAATTTATTTTAGTAGGGATTGGGGATATGTTTCTGTTACTTTCTCCCAATTTTGCCTTGATATAATAATTAGGAAGTATGAATGTAGATCAAACTTGGACACAGTTTTCTAAGGTTTGGCTCGTGATCAAACAATGATTATACCCAGCTGTCACTCATGCTGGAAGTGTGCGGGTGCCTGGTGCGTAAAATTCGGTAAGAAGAGCAGTTATCTGTTAATTAGCTAATATGCAGAATTGACTCGTGATTTTGTCTCTATTCAAGGAGTAGTTGCCAGTTCATCAAAAAGAGAAAAAAAGACTGCGGAGCATAATTTTAGAGATTTGATTTGTTGATTGACCTCGGGCCAGTAAACTTTAGTATAAGACGCCTGTCAATTATAGTCTAATTTATACTTTATAGATATTGTAAAATGGTCGTAATTCTGTAGAAGAATAAATCCAAAGTGATTTATATTTTGTTGTGTTCTTAACAAATTTCTGTTTTGTAGTTTATAAAAATTTGGCCTAAAAATTCAATTCAATTTCAAAATCAGGCTCAACTAAATTAAAAAGGGGCAGCAAATATGGCTTTTGTAATCCTTTACTTATGTATATATATATTTATTTTATCGTTTTTTTGACATTTTTATTATATCTCACAAAGGGCATAATTGCTTTAGAACTTCAAATGTGGGGAATTATGATTTCAAAAATGCGCAGGTTTGAAAAAAAAAAACGTTTTCACTTCGGGCATATTTATTAAAATTCCCTGCGGCATATATTAAGATATATATTCTTTAATCTGTTTATACAAAGGACACAAAGCAGCGTAAATTTAAAGAGGGGACTGACTCTTCTGCCAAGATAAACTCACGTATCCCTTCATTCCCCTCGTGTCATTTCACAGCAATATAAACGGGCAATCAATTAGCCCGGTCCTGGTTTATGAGACGCTGATAAGGAGTGGCTTGTTAGAGAGCCCGTTATCTACTTTTACGCAGGCCTAAAAACAAGGTAGCTCGGACTGAAAGAAGGTTTTTCTTTTGGAAAATACTGTATTTTTTTTTTACACGTTGTTACTTTTTTGGGGGACATTGCATGAGCAAGTGACCGTCGAGGTGAGAGCCAGCAGGTGAGAGACTGTGCTGACCGCTGTGTTTCTGCCCCTTTCGAAAGCAATGTAGCCTGAACACACACTGTTTGCACGAACCTCCGCTTTTTTATGAAGCAAGGATTTATTTAGCCACATCTTTACATCGATAGAGAAATAATCCATTGTGCTGCTATAATTCTTTAAATGTGAACTCATGGTTTACATGGTAATAGGTATACCAGCGGCATAGAGATTGTATACTTTTAAGGAAGAAAGAATCTGTCTGAAACTCTAAAAGACAAATATTCTTTATTTGTGGCATTAGCAACATCAACACTTCAAACTAGAAGTATGTTGGGGTTTTTTTTTTTACCTATGCTTCATCCACTGCACAACAATGCCCCGTTAATGTGTCTTTCCTTTTTATTAGAATGTGTCCAAATCTGCAGCTGTCGTGCGTCATGAGAGCAGGCCTTTTTTTGAACCATCTTCTCTGTGCGCTCTAAAGCAGAAGACATGTCAGAAATTGAGATTGCTTTGAGCTTTTGTGGAAAAAAAAAAAAAAAAAAAGAAACCGGCAGTTCGGTGGAACTTGTTGCTTCAGCTGGAATATGCAGCGCGGATCCCAGCAGGGCAACGCGCTACCAAACCAGAAATCATGTCTAATTAAAAGGTCTCAGTGAGCAGATGAGTGGATTTTGAAGTAGACCAGTAATACATGTGAGGCGTCTAGATGACAAAATATTTCCACTTTTACAGCCACATCCACGGAGGTTTTCCTGTTTGATCCTGGCTGCTTTTTTTATGATTAGAACCATAAATGCTTTTGTAACTGTTGTAAATGTCAGGCTGGCTGTTTGCTAAGCGCTGTCACACACAGTCTTATCAATGCAGGTATTTCTCACACGCAAGGCAAAGAGGGGCTACAGCAAATACATCGCAACAGAACTCGAATCGTTTTAGTTCACTGAGTCCTAAATCTTAATAAAGAGAGAGGGGGGGGGATTTTAAATTGCGAGTAATTGTTAGTGCATTTTGCGCGCTGTCTTTGTTTGCTCTTCATTCTTATTGAAGCTGCTTTGGGAATGAGGAGAGGAATTATCCTGTCAAAATGATTTGTGAAAGATTTGCGAGATTTGACTATTTTCTCCAGCGGACGCAGAAAGTCACACAAAATGTTGGCTCTGCCTTTTGCACCACCAAAACACACAAACGAAACTAAAGCGATTGGCCTGGTGCGTTGCGAGTTATTCTTCGAGAGGGGGGGGGGGATGATGTTTCAAGTTGGTTTTGCATGTTTTTTTTTTTCCTCGCCTGCAGAGATAAGGGCTTCTCTGTGTGTCTTCATTTGTCTGTGGGCGGTAACATTTTCTCCTCCAATCCTTAACTCTAATATCTCTCCATTTCCCCCAGCGATTCCACGACTTAGATGCATGCATATTTATGAGGCTCACTTTCATGTTTTTTTTTTTTTCTTCCTTTTTGTATCTTTTGGCTCCTGTCTGCAACGAATGTAGAAGAGAAGACGGCAACATGGAGAAATAAATGGTTGTGTCTTCTCAACTCTTTCCAAAATCGACTACTCATCGTCTTTCCCCTCCTCAAATTAAACCTTTACAAGTCCAAAAGAACTTAAAAGAAATCTCATTCAGATGAGTCGCGTGGTTGCCCGTGGTTCATCTTGATGGATGAAGGTGGGCTTTTGGAAAAGAGATTGCTCAGCACTGAAATAGACTTCACTCTGTGTGTCCGTGTCTCATCCGCAGCACCCCAGTTAAAAATGATGGACTACTCATATGACGAAGACTTGGACGAGATGTGTCCCGTGTGCGGAGACAAGGTTTCAGGCTATCACTACGGACTTCTGACTTGCGAGAGCTGCAAGGTGAGTGTCCTTCATCCTCCACCATTACACTATAGCAAAAATATTGCCAAAGACACACAAAAAGTGCGCTTATGGTGACCCGTATCTGTTTTGTTATCTAAAATATTCCTAGTGTATATAATCGTTTTTAGTAGTGAGGTCTCATTTATATAGTTGCCCTAATTAATGCTCTTATTATAAAGTTCCTGTATTTCATCAAAGCCTGTCAGTATTACAATGGCTGAACATGGTTTGATTGTATTATTATCTCCTGTGTGAGTGTATTTAGCAGTGAATCTGGACTAAGTTAGAGTTCTCTTTGGTATTTTTATTGACTTTAGTATGTTTATTTTCCTTGAATATTTCAGGTACAGCCATATTTGCATTGTGCAATTTTAAAATACATGACACACATAGTGATACTATAGCTGTTATATTTCTCTACCCTGTGTATGTCAGTGTATTCACCTCTCTGTTCATCCTTGGGCATTTTTTGCTGTTACATTTTTGCACGCTAGGCTTTTAGCCGACATTCTTCTTCAACAAGTGTAAAGTAAAGATTGAGTTGCTCATCATTAACATTTGGTAAAGAGGCTGAGGGTCAAATATTGTTTTGACAGTTGATTCTAACAAACTTTTCCTGTGAGTGTCAGAGGATTTTGTAACGGCTTGGCAAAGGAGTTCAAAAGCAAAGGGTTTTTTTGGTAATTTTTGCAATCACCAAACACAGGAGGTGGGGGAGGAGGATTCAACGCAGGAAGCAAAGCACACAGTAATACTGTCTCTGTTTGTACGGGCCTGTATCCTACTGTCTAAAACTCTCATCACAAGTTCATTAAGGGGACAGCAGCATTGTCTGGTTGCAACATGTTTCCATACACAGGTTAATAATGAGGCTACTGCAGAGCAAACTGTTGCTGTTATTAATTTGAGCTCTATCAACAACCTGTTTGTCCTTCTCTCCCTCTTTCCACGGTTCTCCTCAACACTGAGCTAATAAGCATTACCCAAGTTTTTTGTCAGCCCAGTAAAGCTGTCAGCACAAAATTAAGCTAAGACAAATGTCTCTGTGTTAACACTATTCAGTGTAAAATTGCAGCTCACAGTATTGATGCTGCAGCGCACATTTCTTGCCTATGTGGTCATTATTCAAAGCAGATGTTATAGATTTTATCCCATATTATTGACCTTGGGATGCACAGCACTTGCTTGAAGGGAGACGTCAGTGGCATCTCTGCTGCTTTTCAGCCTCAGCAGGCTTTTCCCAGTTTAGTTGAAACGCTCTGGTGTGTGTGTGTGTGTGTGTTTCTGTGTTTCTGTGTGTGTGTGTGTGTGCGTGTGTGTGTGTGTGTGCATGCAGGATACAGATGAAGAGGTCTTTTATAAAGTGCTGCATATCCTTGTTGAAACATGAATAATATTGATAATCACCTGAAGCTTATCATTGATTATCTTTAAAATGCAGGCAATCTATTCAGTAAAAATGCAATTGTCAGGGATGGACTGTTACATCAGTTTGTTGACATGTTACAGGCTCATATTGGCATTAAATATCCCAGTGCAGTGCGATCCATCTCCGGTGTAATGGAGGTTCCTGTCTGGCCACAGCTGCATAACAACTGGAAAAGCCAGCTGTTAAATTTTATATTTAGTTTTATATTAAAATAAAAAATGCCTCTGGTTTTAGTTTTTGTAATGTGCTACCAGAATAAGATTCACATTTTCCAACTTTTTGGTATCAAATTTTGGGAATATTTCATAATTTCGACCAGATTTTTAGATGGAATCCTCCTTTATTTGAAACTACCCTCTTTGGGTTGAGGACCACACACACACACACACACACACACACCACACACACACACACACACACACCTACACATACACACGTAGAAAGAGAGAAAGAGTGAATCACACAAGTAAAGATTCTTTAACCCCCTCAAAATCCTACCACCTACCCAAACACACATGCATTATGAACACACACACACACACACCCCTTTATTCATACACACAGTCAGTGTTAGTTCATACTACACACCAGCCCACATAAAGTAAACACGGTACCACATCATACCTGCTGGAAAAACAACAACAAGCTGAAACGGGCTTCATGGTCCACATACAAGCTCAATTCCAGCATGCTTCACTTTGGGAGACTTAGCTGAGAGAGCAATAGTCGGATAACCTTAAAATACTTAAATACTGATATTAGAGGCAACTAGCAAGAAGATCAAGGGTCAGAGCTATAGTATACAGTGGTCATATAAAAAAGATCTGCAGAAGTTAAAGGAAAATTACAGAACGCGTTTTAGAGCATGTAAAGAGTATGGGAGACAGGGAAAAGAGAAGATAAAGTGGTGATTATATTTTTCCTGCTTCTTTGATGGACTGACAGGCCAGTGTTGACATGTTGTAAAAGCAGTTTCCTGGTTGCTGCTTTCGTGCAGAGAGTGTGCAGTTTTTTTTGGATGGAATTCCAAGGTCAGGAATACCCGGCTGTGCAGATAATTAATCAAATTAGAATTGGATATTATTTTTATGAATAGCTTGTATCTGCTTTATACCATTCAAGTTCCACTTATTGTGATGTTATTGTTAATTCGTGACACTTTTATCAGGTAAATTAGAAACTTGCTAGCTATTTTTTAATGGCAACAGACACAGGAAAAATTTGCTTGAGCAATGCCTTAGCAAATAATAATGAGTCCTGATGAGTGCTTTCTCCTGGTTAGACCTGCCGGTCAAAGCGTTTCAGTGAGATGTTGTCTGCTTAATCTCCACATGTAATATTGTGTGGTTTTTAAAGCATGCAATCCAGTTTGGTTCAGATATTTATAGCACACGTTGTGCACTAAATGGAAAATTGGAGAGAAAGTTCTCTCTGAAGCATGGATTTTTTAGCACTGAGAAGTCGATAATCCAAACTCAAGTGCAGTGGATTTTTTTTTATTTTTGGGGGGGACGGACGGATCAGGCAATGCAGATTGTCAATTAAATTTGTGTTTGGTGAGATATTGACAGCAGCACACTCTTTTTTTATTTTTATTTTTTTTAAAGACCAGGTTTAAGAATTCTCCTCCTAGGTTATGGATCTAGAATACGTTAATACCATCTTCCCTTCGTTTGATTTCCACTGCTGCTGCTTATAATTAATTCCACGTTGCAGGTATGAATCTCTGTAATCCCGGAACTGTGAATTATGGATATAATTTATTGGATCTTTTGGACTCCTGTGCTCATATTTCTCAATAATTAAGTGGAGAGCTGAAAAGATGCTTTCCCTCGTAAATTCTAGAGTCTTTACGTGAATAGAGAATATTGAGAGTAGTAATGTAATTTTGACATGGCGCAAATGTATAAAGTAGTTTATAATGCAGTTAAAACACTAAGTGAAGCAGATGCCTGGAGAATTTATGTTTTGCTTATTTGTTCAAATCAAATCAGAATGTATTACAAATATGTTTCAACATCGATCGACCCTAAAAGTTCTTTAGAAAGACTGACATTTGTTTCATTTGTAAAAAGTGTGTATTCATGTACTGCTTTGTATTCTGCATGTGTGTGTGTGTCCGTAAAGCATCACGACATCAATTGGAGTATAGCTTTCAAAACTTCACTCTGTGTGTGTGTGTGTGTGTGTGTACCCATTAAGTCTGTCCCTTTCCATCTGTCTGGGAGTGTGAATGGGCCAATTATCATTGCATTGCAGGGGTCAAGCGGGTTGACGTCTTAATTGGTTCTCTCCGTAGGGCTTCTTCAAGCGCACCGTCCAGAACAACAAACGCTACACATGTATAGAGAACCAGAGCTGCCAGATTGACAAGACCCAGAGGAAGCGCTGCCCGTACTGCCGCTTCCAAAAGTGCCTCACCGTCGGCATGAAGCTTGAAGGTACAGCAACATGTTTACATTTTTACAGTTCAGGTGTTTGGCTCATGGCAGAATGTGATGATCACAAGTTTTGCTGGTGTTTTGCTTCTGTGATTCAATGTGTTTCTACCTTAAACATGAGGTTAAGTTGAGAAATAACATAGGGAGAGGTGTTTTAAAGTGCAACAGCAGCTAGTGGATAATGTGTAGCTGTCAAAAGTTTTGTTTCTTCAAAATACATTAACAGGACACAGTTGTTGCATAAAGGTGGATGGGTTTTCATGTCCAAACAACCAGTGATTATAACGCACTGGCCACTGGGATTTCATTGTCCTGCTCAAGGGCTCTCACATAGAGCAGACGGCTGTTATTAATACTGACCAATGTGACTGTCCAGTAACCAGTGATAGAGGAAGTATAACTTTGCTTGAGTGAACAATATAAAAACACTCCATCAAGTCCTGTACTGAAAATGTCACTCAAGAAAAATAAAATATTATTAGAAAAATGTACTTAAAGTATCAAAAGTAAAGGTATTCATAATGCAGAATGCCCTCTGTGAGTAACATACCATTACATATTATATTATTACTGATGCATTAATGTGTAAGAACCACTTTACTGTTGTGGATCTAACTATTTTATATACTCTTGGGTAGTTTAATCTATAACAGTGTATTATATTTTATAAACTAATCAAATGTTTTATATGTAAAATCTGTCAAATGAATGTAATGGAGTAAAAATAAAATCATATTTCTCGCTGAACTTTGGTAGAGTAGAAGAATCAAGTAAACTAAAATGGGACCATACCTCAAATATGTACCTAAGTACTGCATTTCTTGAGTAAATGTAGTTACATTCCACCACTACCACATGGCCGCCAAATGCACTAGATAGCCTCCAGGCTCAATTTCACCAGAAGTCTATTAAAATTCTATTTTAATCTGGGAGAATATTTATCTTTTTTATGGTGCACATACAGTACTGTTTTTTCTGTATGATTTCATGAATAGTTTACCACAGATTTAGGCTATTCTGGGGTTTCACAACAGTTACAGTTTACAACAGTAAAATGTGATCTAGAACGTACAGTACACATCTGCAGGAGTGGAAAAGCAGGTCGGTCCAGGCAGTATTATTGCATTCTGCGTGCTGCATCATATATTTTTCAAGATATGATGCCTGTTTGCAATTACTGTTACTGAAAGTTGGGGAGGGAAAAATTATAACATGGAGCAGCTAAAATTGGAGGTTGACTGCTTCTGGACTGCACAGAGGTGTTTTAAAAACTCCTACCAAAGTTCTAGTGAAATGACACAGCTAGTCATTTTCCATTTATTCACAATTGAACACAGTTAATCATAGCACATTAACTTTTTTGGAAACTGTATTCTTCCAAGAGCAATTTGCATGTGAATAGCTTCCTTCCAAATTGAGATGTCCACCATTCAAAAAAAGGCTAATACCTGCTCTGACATAATGATTGCCTGTATGAAAGGAGAAGATTATATTTATTTAAACATTTAACAATGAACATCTTAGTAATATCTGTTCTTGAAAATGTATACCTAGAACTTTGTGAAGTGAAACCTTCCATTTGTACCACAGTGTTGAAATTCAGCATTGCTTATTAGTATTTTAGATGGGGTCAGGGGGAGTTGGGGGTATCTGGTAGCTGCTTTGCACTTAAACTTGCCAGACAGAGTAATAGATAAAATATTAAACTTGGCGGAAGGTCGAGAATGGTAATGATGATACTTTTGGCCAGCCATTCCGAGGCCTCTTTGTTTAATTTGAACGTGGCTCAGAAGCTTGTTCAAACATGACTATACAGAAGTGACAGGACGGCAGGGCAAGAAACATTCTTCCCTCTTTCAAAGATAATATTTAAAATCAACTATTTTTCCACATATGAGTTGACTAGTTGTATTCTGAAATCGCTAATTTTGGAGTGAATGAAGCAACCTGAAGGTCATTATTATTTTGTTTTACTTTGTGCATACTTTTAGTAAGAGTATGTGCTGCTATTCATACAGTCTAATATTAAAACAAAATTCACACATTTGTAATTTAAACCAAATTAAAAATCCCTAGGCTCCTTAAATGACATACAATTGAGAAAAGTTCATGTGCTAAAGAAATAAGACCCTGGGAGGGTGGAAAGTAGAGCAAAGACAGCCTAACTAAAATTTTTCCGGAGGCTTCTTCTCCTTTTACCTGCCATGTGCGGTGTAATTAATTGCTGTTAATTGTGAATGGCCGCTGGGCAGAATGTCCCGGCCTGTCATTTTCCAGCTGACACGGGTGGGGAGTGGGTAGCGTTTGATTTGTTTTGCTGGCAGTAGCTTTCAGCTCGGGGGGCAAGATGGGCCCTGCAGCACTGCGGCCAGAAGCTCCAGTGGGCAACTCCTGCCACAACCAGTAAAGACGTCCCATACAGAAAGGCTGACATCCCTCAGCACACACACACTATACACACACATACAGCTCTCCCTGGTAAACACATACATATATTCATGAGAAGCCCAAAAAAGGTGTTCAGAAGGCCACAGGCAAGAGGGAGAAGCTGTCATTTGATCTAAAAAAAAATGTGTGTACAATACCGGTGAAAGCTGACAGGAGGTTTGGGGTCATGTGCTGTGTTATTGCAGTCTTTTCATTCCATTACACAGCAGCTTGCAACAACATGTGAATTCAGGATACTGAGTGGGAACCAAATGTGGACAAAAATGTGAGGGAAACTTAAAAGTTGATTCAAACTGGACTTTTGTCTGTATTTTTCAACTGTTTACTTTTGCCTTTCTGGTGTTGCTCAGTGTCTTGCCTGTTTGTTGATGAGTCTGCCAACCACTGGGACGGTCTGTACAGTTTGCTGAGAGAGAAGCAGTAAAGAAGTCTGTCTTTGTAGTTTGTGTTTGATAATGTTTCAAAGTTGTGGGAAGGCAGTGAAAAAAGGTAAGACAGCAGACTGGCACATATCAGAGAAGACATAAACAGTGTTGTGACATGTCTATCACCCCATCCTAACACTCAGAGATCCGTCGTATTATCTGGAGCTGATAACAAAACAAAAAGTAGTTGAACCTTGGTGACGTCTGTCTTTACACAACGGAGGATAACGCTGCAGAGGCATATCATATTCTCCTCTGTGTGCTTGCGCGACAGATTAAATAACTTACCTCTGACCTAGTTTGTAACATTCAAAGTTATGTTTTTCAAAATTAAAGAAACTCTTCCCTGTTTGCTACGTCGACTATGAGAACGAAAAGCAGCCTGGTAGCTGTAGAGAATGTTTAGTCCCAAAATGAACACTTAATTTAATCTGCATATGACATCTTTAACTTAAAATTACTCCAACCGTATGCCATCAGTTGCCAGAATAATTTTACAAAACCTGTTTTTTATCTTGAAATTATAAAACATTATAATATATATATCTATATATACAGATATATATATATTATATTTTTAATTACCTTTATCAATATTAATATTAGTATTTCTAAAAAAAACCTGTTAATCTATCTTTTCCAGTCACTGTCAGGCGGGCGAGTCATTGTGTCAAACAGACACACTCTCTCTCTTTCATATGCACAATGATCACGAAGCCTGGCAGCCGCATTTCACCACACAAACACACGTGCTACCATGCTGTAAAAATCCCTGGCTTCTTGGTGTTCACTGTAGCGGCTCAGCCAGCGTTGACTCATTGAGAAAAAGAAAAAAAAAAAGCCACATCCACTAAGGTTTGACCTATTAGCGCGTCATTCACTAAAGCTGATGAAGCGTGCCGCATCTGAACAGCTCCCACTGGTATGATTTTCTTTTTATGCTCACTAGAAGTTGCCTTGCATCATATGCTTCACTGAGCTGCCTAATATCTCCTTCACTTATGCATCATCTTAAAGATAGAGTGTAACAGTGATATTTGCGATAGTGCGAGTTTGACACTCTGTTTCTACTGTCTGCTATTTAATGAAGCAGAAATTACACAATGTTTTAAAATAACCATTGAAAATTAAAGCTTATGGCAGTGACTGCATTTAAAATGGTGATGATGAATAACATTTTAACAAAAACCAGGAACAGCATGCAACATTTGTCCTTTCATAAAATTCAGATTAATTCATATTTGTTGTCTGGTTACAGTTTTGAGTTACTGAATGCCAGATAATATTTTTTGTGTTTAATGCCAGCTTTATTTAAAACTGACCAGCCAGCACTCTCTTGTTTTAAACCAGATGTGAGAATACACTGATTTAAAGTGGCCTTTTTTGGAAATCTAACTGATTTTTCTTTTCATTAACTTTTATTGGACTTACTCACAACATTACTGAACAGCCTCACAAAGCCTCAGGTATCAGTTTTTCCAGCATTTTTTTATTTTTAACCCTTTTGATCATGCAGTTAATCCATCATCAAATCTAAATACAATAATTACTATGAATGAAAAACCTCTACAGAGCCATTCAGCACAAATTAGCGACACCGTCTGAGTGTTTATATATTCCTCTCTGTATCTCTCTCCCTCTCCCTCCACTTTTTATTTCCTCCCTGTCTCCATCTTTCTCGTTCTGATTTGTCTTCCATCAGCCTCCCAGTACCTGCAGTGGAAGCCAGGGAGCTGTCCCATTACTTATGCATAGGTATCATAGGTATTCATGTGTGTGCATGGGATAGGGCGCATCCGGAGCAGGGGCCGGGGCCCCGACATGACAAACAGGGTGTCAGCAAGGCTCCGCGGGACCCATTAATATGCCGGCGGTCGACAGGGATCCTCACCTACGCGCGCTTAATATTCCTGTATATTAAACAACCATAAATCAGAGGATATAAGCTCTGAGGGCTGTGTGTGTGTAATGTGTTTGAGTGTGTTAGGGGCTATGTGTGTATAGAAACTATGTGTGAAGGATGGTGTGTGTGTTCTTTTTGTGTTAGCGCATGTTTGAGATGGGTACTGGATGCTTTTGGGAAAGAGGAAGAGGGTTTTGGTATGGTCCGTTTGTGAATTTCTGTGTGTGTGTGTGTGTGTGTGTGTGTGTGTGTGTGTGTGTGTGTGTGTGTGTGTGTTTTTGTGTGGAAGTGCTTCTCAGACAGTAAGTCAGGGGAATTCAGAGTGGAAGACAGCGTCAGCCTTTTAGCCTTTCGGCCTGGCTTTAGCCCCAAAGCCTCATTGCTAACCCACAATATCCCTCAACTCAGATCCTTTTCACACTAATATAAGTTTATTCTCATATATTCAGTCTGGGTTTTTCTTCCTTGTGTTGTTTTTTCTTTATATGAATTGTATTGTTGTATCCTCCAATTATTTCAATTTACTTGTCTTTTTCTAAGTGCTCATAGTTGTACTTTCCAATACAACTCCTGTCAGTCAAGCTGTGTGCGTAGCACTGTCATTTTTCTTGCATTTTCTGTTAATGAAGTTTGAATTTATGTAGGTGGCTGTTTTTCTTGTTTGCTTGTTCAGCATTGGCAGCTGTCACTGTCATACTGTTTATGCCAAACAAACCACAAACATCAAACACATAACTTTCTTGGCACCACAGAAAGACCTACCAATGAGTTTAAGTTACAGACACTCTGCAAGGTTTTATGTAAGGGAAATCCAATTACTGCTGTGGGTTAAAAATAATTTTGCATGAAAACATTTACAGATTACTACCTTAAACAGCTGCTTTTTTGGACATAATTTTAACCATCTTAAATTGCAGGGTCATGTGATAACTTTGTCATCATAAGCTCCTTGCTACAGCATCTAACCCATTAAAATTTCTCCTCCCCCCCCACACACACACACATGCACTGTACTCCTTCCCCTCTTTCCCTCCCCTTTCCATATTAATCTGTGTTACATGCATGCAAATTAGAAAGAATCAGTGTGTGTGTGTGTGTGTGTGTGTGTGTGTGTGTGTGTGTGTGTGTGTGTGTGTGTGTGTGTGTGTGTGTGTGTGTGTGTGTAGGTGCGTGTGTGTGTAGTGGTGGTGGTGCTGAGACCTACATCCCCCAATTCTGATATTCATGATGTGATGTGGGTCCCTGGGTCCGAAGCAGGCAAGAAGGCAGTCAGGGCTTAATTTTGTTTTCCCAGTAGGGCCAACTATTAGTTTCTCAGCTCATTAATTACGCTGTTGTGGAGAAATCATTAATAGTTAAAGTCGCCCTACAATAATGTATAATGGATACATTTGACAGCTCCTGACTTCTTCTTCTTTTTTTCCACTGATGTTTGATCAATTTTTCAACGGTCATGATAATCCCTGAGCCTGGGTAAGTGGGCACTGGAGTTGACCTCAAGCATGTTGGGAAATGGTTGTGTTGTGTGTGCGTGTAGTTGAATGTGTGTGTGTAAAATCACTGTGTATAAATTACACCGTTTGAGCCATTGGGAGCTATCTAAGGTGGCGGAGCGTCTGGCTCTCTCTCTGTAAACTGGACCAGTGTGTGTGATGCTTTCCACGTTAGAGTGTGTTTGTGTGTGTGTTTTCTTTAAGAATGTATGAGATAGAGTCAGCATGTGGGTGTGAGTGTGTGTGTGTGTGTCTCCCCTCTCGGCTCCTCTCAGTCAGATCATTGACGGACACTTTTGTGACGGAGGTCATTAAAACCACTCCCAAGGCAGCTCGGAGTGTGTGTGTATGTGTGTGTGTGTGTCTGTGCACCCCTCCTAACCCCCAAACTACGACACCCCCCCCTCTCCGCATCCCTCTTCAAATTTCTTCTTCTGTTCTTTCATTCATCCGTCAGGACATCATGGGCTGCAGTGGACCCAGCCTGACTCGCCATGTTATCTGACTATTCACAGTGTATGATCAGGGCAAATGTATGTGCATTTATTTACATATACAATTAAATATGTGTGTTTCTTTTAAACATGGAGGCAAGACCCCATTGAATACAATGAAAAAAAGTCTATAATATTCTACAGTATTGGTATTAGTGAGCGAGTTTCTGTTGCGTAGGCTCCCAGACGTCCATTAGCTTATTGCACACTGGGCTCGGCGAGCCTCGTCAGAGTAAGAGGTAATTAAGTATGAATAATTAACACCAGCGGCCCCCGACTGGGAGACAGCAGAGCAGCTTCCCCCATGGCAGCAGTCGGCCAGATCACACATGGTCCCCGTAGCAGTCCACTTTGTGCCCGCTCGTTCATTAGAAATACCCGCGGCACAGACTCGTTGTGATCCTCACCACAGGATCCTCCACTGAGGGGGGAGGCAGGGGGCATTATGGGTAGGTTTGGGTCATCAGAAAGGAAAAAAAACCCATTTAGTTACTGTATTGTCAGCCTTTTCAGCCTTTGGGGTTTGGTAAAGAAAAGTTTTTGCTAATGGCTCTTAGATATTGCATAATCTAATAGCATTTTAAAACCAACGTGTTTTGGAAAGAGAACTTGAATCTAGTCTATACCAATATCTATATTTTGAGGTGTATATTTCCTGAGTGGTAGACAGAGATAGCCAGCTGTACAACGATCATTTAGCAGAGTGGCTCATTGAAGTTTGTGTCTCTGGTCAATGAGTAACAACACTATCTGTTAGACCTGTGGGGTTTAGGAGTCAACAGGTAAATGTCAAGTGTAATCACCAAAGGAGAACCTTTGCCCTACATACAAGACACAAATGAGGAGTTCACTTTCATAACACTGTGCTTATATGTATATATATGGACAAATCTTATCGCATCACTAAAATATATAAGATTTTGTCTGTAAATGTGTATTTTTTCGAGTTCTGAAAGTCTTTGTTGTATACATAAATTATTTCTCATGGAACATTACAAATCACTGTTTTATTGCTACAGTTCAGTGTGAATTTGCCAAAAGGTGCTTAGTATAGTTCATAATCATGTGTTCTTGCATGAACACTGTCAAGAATTATGCAAGCCAAATATTTACATATTTACATAGTGCAGAGCTAATAGTTTCCTCTTCCTTTCTTCTCCTTTTTCATCCCTCTTTCCATCTGTCTGTCAGCTGTGCGGGCAGACCGCATGCGTGGTGGTCGCAACAAGTTCGGCCCAATGTACAAACGTGACCGGGCCCTCAAGCAGCAAAAGAAAGCACTGATCCGAGCCAATGGCCTAAAGATTGAAGCCATGACCCAGGTGATGCAAGCCGTGCCCACCGACCTCACCATCTCCTCAGCCATCCAGAACATCCACTCGGCCGCATCCAAAGGCCTTCCACTGAGCCATCATGCTGGCCACCACACTGGTCATCACCACCACCACCACCACCATCATCATGCCACTGCCCTGCCCCCCACAGACTACGACCGCAGCCCATTTGTCACTTCACCGGTCAGCATGGCAATGCCACCACACGCCGGCAGCCTGCAGGGCTACCAGGCGGCCTACGGACACTTCCAGGGTACACGCACCATCAAGTCTGAGTACCCAGACCCATACACCAGCTCGCCGGAGTCCATCATGGGCTACGCCTATGTTGATGCCTACCAGTCAGGCTCGCCACCCAGTTTCCCACACCTGATTGTAGAGCTGCTTAAGTGCGAGCCAGACGAACCTCAGGTTCAGGCCAAGATCCTGGCCTACCTGCAGCAGGAGCAGGCCAGCCGAGGCAAACACGAGAAGCTCAACACCTTCGGCCTCATGTGCAAGATGGCTGACCAGACACTCTTCTCCATCGTGGAGTGGGCACGCAGCAGCATCTTCTTCCGTGAACTCAAGGTAGGTTTGCATAATCCATGTGATGAGAGAGATTTTGTGTGAATGTGAGAAAAAATTTTATGTTATTTGTTACAACGTTATATTCATGGTTTTGAAAATCATTCCTATTGGTTAAGATAGCATATTACTGTTTAAGCTTTAATTCTATTTGCAGTTACACTGCAGGCCTTTAATAAATTACCCTGCATTTTGTTTCAATGATAAATCTTTCACCATGCTCTCATCCTTAATTGACAGTATTTACACAGTTCATGAGCATAATCTGCTCAATCCTTTATCTTCAACAGGCCTTTAATCTTCCACTTTTATGCACTGGCTCACTAATGCAGAGTACACAGGGCTGTGGGAGGGCGAGGGGGGTCTGCTCGTAGCTGCCACCACTGTCTGTCCCACTGCCTGATCAAAATTCAGCAGCCAGCTGTATTTACCCTGTGTGTGACACATTTTGGCTACGGGTTGTAAAAACTTTGGGCTTCAGGCATTTTTCATACTAACAGGGTCGTAGTCTGTGGGTTTTATGTGAACTGAAAACTGAATACCGCCCATCTCCCCTTGAAGTATTCCTCAGATCTAAGTGGGCACACACTGTGTGATGATACGTGATACTAACCATTAGCATATTGGTCAAACAAAATTCAGAGAGCTGACCAAATCACACAGATGGTACATAGCAACAAATACTCACTTTTTAATTTTAGTTTAATTTGGGCTGTTTTGTTATTTTTAAGATTTTTGGGGGCTTTTATTTGCGAGAGAGGGGCTGACATGACTCAGCCTTGGTTCATGGGGTGCTAGCTCTACCAGGTGAGCTATCCAGGCACCCCAATTAAGATTTGTTATTTAAGTTAAGTCGTTATTTGTGGACATTCTTCTAAAGCATTTAAACTATGTGTATGTAATCTGCCAAGTCTATTAAAACAACACAGTTCAAGCCCAGTAAACACTGTGTCCTCCGTGAGTGACCAACTGACCAATAGGAACCGTCCAACAACGTCTCACTGTAAAAATGTGATAATTCCCGCTTATTCATCACAGAGCCCAAGGGAGAGTTTCTGGTGTGTGTTTTTGCGCTCCCAGCTTTATTTGCTCTGAATGAAGGTTAATGTTCGGAGCGACATGAAAGGCATTTGATTAGACTGTGCTTCACCTGTTTTTCTTCCCGTTGTCAGACTCCTTTGTCTGTTTGTTTCACATCGCATCGCCAAAGGCTCAGCTGCATATTCATGGGCCTGTTGCAAAATTCCCTCCAAATATTTAATATTATTTTGTTTTCAAAGGGGAAAATAACACACGAAATAAATGTAATATTAAAAACAGAGCCAATTACAACGCAGACAAGAGTCCTTGAAAAACACATGTTGACATTTAGCATGCGTCGTGTCCCCGCTATTGACATTTTCGAGGTCTGTATTTGCATTCAACTGGGGTTCACACTACTTCACTCACACACACACACACAAACATACACACACACACACAGGCTTATTGTAGGGTGTGGCCACAGCTAATAATTGTGTGTGTTTTGCCCATTAACTTTGAATGATCATTTTTGCTCCACTGCGAAGGCTCTATATTTCTCACACCCTCATCCTAATTCAATTATCTCACCCACTTGTGTTTGTCACTCGCTGATTAGCTGCTGAATGAAATGTCATTATGTTTTCCTAATGACTACCCATATTACTGCAGCTTAATAGTAATTGAGCTGGGTGCCTGTTACAAAGGTAGAAAATGACCTGTGAATGCAGGAGAAAGCCCCCCCCCCTACCTCCCCTCCCAAAAAAAGCCTCTCCGGGTCCTGTTGCACAAGCTCCATTGGTTTTGGGGAGGTGGGGCGTATTTCACTTAAATGAGGGAGATAATTGAGCTAAACCCCCCTTGCCCTGTTTTTAAAGAGCCATCTAAAACACAAGAGGGATTGAAAAAGAATGCGCTAGCTGTGGCTGTGACAGTTTTTCCCACACAATCCTCTCCTCCTTGCTTTATTCTCATTAGTAACTACTGGGAGGACTGCTGATGAAGGCTTAGTGTTGGTGTAAGTGAGGGGAACAAGCAAATCATGAGCTAGCCAAAATGAATATGAATATACTTTGGTTTTAAAATATCTCCCTCAAATTGTCTGCTTGTCTATTAATCATAATTGGAGAGTACTGTTCTGGAGTAGTGTACTGTGCAGTGTGTGTGTGTGGTTATTCTGTTCTGGTGCAGGCTTTTATGTGTTTGCTACTGCAGCTCAACATCACATTACCCTGAAAAAAAACGACCTTTGCCCTGTCCACTTTATCTCCCTGTGAATATGCCTGCTTTTGTGTATGTGTGTTTGTGTGATTATACATAGGAACACATGCATGCTGATGGTTGCTTAAGCATGACAAACATTGCCAAAGATTGGGGGCGAATTTCCATAGATTCTAAAAATGTACACACTTGTCTTTCTGTATGGTGCTTCGGGTAAGGCTACCCACTACAAAAGGTGTGTTTCCCATTGTTTTAACTTATGATCGCATGTTTTGTATCCACCTGACCTTTGACATCTCCTGTTAATACAGATCTGACTGTTAGATGTGAGGTCAAGCCTGGGACCAGAGAGACAGGAAGCAGAGTAGAATTAAAAGTTTGTCACAGGAGTAGTGTGGCATTGTAGGAAGCTATATATACACTTCCATCTCACTCACACACACACACACACACATATCCACATTAAGACACAGACGCCGCTCACACATAACGCACAGCCTCTCTCACTATTATTAGCTCTGTAAGAACAAAAGAATTTCTCTGGTAATAGAGCCAAGCTGAGAGGGTGTGTGCGAGGCGTCTGCCAAAAAAAGTGTTTAAAGATTTAGTTTCCATAAGTTGGCCTCGGTCACGGGACTCATAAATATTTAGCCATTAGGAGTACCTTCTAAAGAGCTCTCTCCTTTTTTTCTAATGCGGCACGCTGCCTCTCTCTTTCTCCCCCTCTTTCTGGGAATGAGGCATGACGTGAGGGACGTTTATTTCTAACACCTTGGATCCGAGAAGTTGCGGTGGGCTCTTACCGCCAGCCTACCCCAGTTTTGATTGGTTTAACACATCGACAATTAGAGAAAGTCAGGTCTGGTGCACTGGTTTTGAAATCAATGACTTAGTGTCATGATCACTTGTGGTTATTTTATACATTTCTGAGTGAGCTGAAGACAGGTGTGTGTGTGTGTGTGTGTGTGTGTGTGTATGTGTGTATGTGTGTGTGTGTGTGTTAAGTCTATTCAGCCCTTAATATGAGTTCCCAATCACAGAGTTGTGTTTTCTTGTGTTTTTCTAGAATAGAAATTAGATGCCCCTCCCCCAGAATAATGCATAATTATAATAATTGTTTTATTTTAAAATATACTGGCAATGACATTACTCTATACATTTTTCAGATGGTTCTTTTTGCTTTGATTTGATGAGTGTGAGTTGCAGCAGGAAATGTTTTGTAGGATCAGTGTATATTTCATTATGCAAGTGGGTACAACTGTATTTTAAAATGACAGTGTACAGATACATTCATTCAAATTCAGAATGCATTTGAGTTCTGTTTCTGAAAACATTTTGTGTGTGGACGTGTTTGTGTATGAAAGTATACTATCAGTGCTTAATCCAGTATATGAGTGCATGTGTCTATTTATGAGTATATGCCAGGATTTGAGTGTGTTCTAAGGGGGGAAACACGTGTGTTTGTCTCTCAGTGACATTTGCTAGCACAGGGCTGGTACTTTGCCACCCCTCCCCTCCGATCCTCCCCTGTCCTGCTATGAACCCCTCCGCCTGCCCCGGTGCCAACCACCAACCAGGCAACTTTGGCCGTTAAAGGACAAATCCATTCAAAAATGGTTGATCTTTACTTCTTCCTTAATGAATGTTGCTGTTTGGTGGCGTTATTATTAAACATCCCAGATAGCATTTTCTCTATACAGTAGCCTCAGTAAGTAATGTAACCAAATAGTTTTTAGAGTTTTCTTGACATACAAATTAAAAAATATATATATTTTAAGGGCTCACTTGTTAGAAGGAATTCTGGGAAATGCAGGAATTCTCTGACTGAAGCAGGAATAGATGAGGCGGGATAAGGGAGACGGGACACTATACTTATTCTTAAACGCATTGAACATCATAGATCAATGATGTTTAAGAGTTGGTACTGCATATTTCTCAATATTTGAAAGTGGAATATTCACAGGTAACCCTATGTATTAGATTTTTTAAAAATTATTATTATATCTACTTGCCTCTGACGTCACATAAGCCTATGACACATTAAGCCTATGACATAAAAACAGAAAAAATGTCATATACACAAAAAATACTACATGTAGATATGAGTTTAGAACTAAGTAAAAACATCTAACTGAAAAGAGGAAATAAAAAAAACAGAACAAAAAAATTACAGTAAAAGTAAAAGGAAATTGAATTTACAAAAAATGTTGCATCAAAGTAAATTACTCTTAAATTAAAAAGTAACAAATAGTTACTGGTTGACTAAATTTAAATACTTGAGCCGTAGGAAGTGGAAAAGAGGACACTTTCTTTGTGAAAACTGTAAACACAGCCTTCTTAAAAACCTCTTCTAATGTTCCTGTTTGTGTTGAATATCAGAGTGGACAACTGCTTGACTGCGAGTGTTCACGTCTATTTACACTGTGTGTGTGTGTGTGTGTGTGTGTGTGTGTGTGTGTGTGTGTGAGGGTGACTCATACTGTAGCTGCTCCATTGCTACCCTCTCCTCCATTGTTCCAGTGTTGGGATGCCTGGCCTGACTCCCACCACAAACACAATGAGAGGGAGAATTTAGCGGGGCAATCGGGACTATTGATGATTCATATGTTTATATCTTACCTTCCTAGCTCTACTCCCTTTACACCCCCCACCCCCTTCCTCTATACACCCTTTAATAAAAAAGGATGTGTGTCTGGTGTTGGGACAGAGAGCACCTTTGTGTGCCTTGTCAACACACAACACACAGGGGTTGATGAAGTAAA